TGAAGGAGTGATGGAGTGATGCAACCACTACAGCTTGGAAAATAATATTTTCCATTGAGAATTTTGAAAACGAGTTCAACTGTGCTGTTTCAGTATAAGAGCTTTTGAAGAGTCAAAGGTTACCAATGAAGTAACTTGTTGTTTTTCATGCAGACAAACTTGAAGGACTTGTCTCCTGTTTGGAAACCTGCAAGTATTTATGGGATGGATTTGGTGAATGGAAAAATGACCAGTGGATGCCATATCTTAAAGGTTGGGAATAATTTATTAAAGTATTTCAATTCTTAATAAGGAGACGCAGCAAGGGTACATCGCGTAAAACCAGTAAGGGGTTTGTAAAAGTAACGACGACCATGTCGCTAACATCGGATTCAATTCAAAATATTCATAATGTCGCGAATCTCTTAAGCCAGTTGGTTTATCAGCTTTTAAATTATAAGTACACATAAGGAAATATGGAGTATTAAATCATTCTAAGCTACTGCAGAATTTCACTCTTTCTCCGTTTTTTTTCTACGGTTTTACATTGTCATAAACAACACTTTTTTGTTTTCCTAACATGCTTTCTTTTTTTCCATTTATATAAAGCAAAGTCTTACAATTGGTCGATGCCGCAAAATTACACACAATCTGGAACGCTTTGGATCTACGGTGATTCAGTGGGTCATCAGCTATACAGGTCTGTCCAGACTCGATCTTTGTGTAAATTACTTTATCAAAAATGCGGAAACAGCTACATGTGGATCTACCATGCTCACAACAAAGGCTTGAACATTGCTCTGGAGAGTGACCTTGATTTTAGACCTGAAAAAGTCATTGGAATTATTGTGGACGTCCTACGCACGCCAGAAATGCTGCAAGGGGAAAGCGTCTTGCTTTTAAACCTGAACCTACATTTTGTGGGTAGGATCAATTTTACCGCTTATCAAAAGCTAATAGATGACTTGATACTGACTTTCAAGACAGAAGAACTCTCACAAGGTGAGAGAGTTCCAAAGTATAAAGCTCAGATCATTTGGAAGTCATCCACCGCCATTTGCAAGGAAAAGGTCTCGTCCTTAAATAAAACCAGTGGTCGCTTTTTTACTAGCCAGGTTTGTACTCTCTCGTTTGTCAGCTTTTAGGG